TATATATACAAATATATGTATATACATGCAACAGAATATTATGCAGCCATCAAAAAATGAAATCTTCCCATTTACAACAATGTGGATGGAACTAGAGGGGATTATATAGGTAAGCGATAGAAGTCAGTCAGAGAAAGACAAATACCATATGATTTCGCTCATATGTGGAATTTTAGAAACCAAATAAACAAAAGGAAAAAAAGAGAGAGATACACACACAAACCAAGAAACAGACTCTTAACTATAGAGAACAAACTGATGATTACCAGAGGGGAAGTGGGTGAAATAGTTGATGGGGATTAAAGAGTATGCTCATTATGAAAAGCAGTGAGTAATGTAGAGAATTGTTGAATCACTATTTTGTACACCTGAAACTAAAATAACACTGTATGTTAACTATATTGGAATTAAAATAAAAAGCTTAATAAAAATGAAAGCAAAAAAAAATAGTTTGCTCTTTTGATTGCTGAGTAATGTGGAATGATGTATCACAGGTTAGCCATGACCTTTTGAAGGACGTTGGAAATATTTCAAGTTTTGGGCTATTCTGAATAAAACTGCTGTGAACATTTGTGTACAGGTTTTTCATTTCTCTGGGATAAATGCTCATGAGTGTAATTGGGTTGTATGTTAATTACATGTTTAGTTTGTAAGAAATTGCCATATGATTTTATAGTCTAAGCAGCAGTGTGTGAATGATCTAGTTTCTCTGCATCTCTTCCAGCATTAGAAGGTGTCACTATTTGTTATTTTAGCCATTCTGATAGATACATAGTGATATCTCATTGTAGTTTTAATTTGCTTAATGGCTTATTTGCCATTTGTTTGTCATTTTTGGTGATCTTTTGCATTTTTACTCCTCCATTTACTTCTTTTTGGACCTTGTGATGGGGATGGTGTTCCTGGTGAATTAACTATGAAGTTTTTTGTAGAATACTTAGATGGGAGGAAACAGGTCTGCTCCTGAAATAGAAAGTATTGCTCACTATGATTCTCAGCTCTGTGTTAGAGTCTCTGGGAGTACAAAGATGAATAAGACAAGAACCTTAGTCTAATATCATCTGGCACTTTCGGAACGGGAAGCAGAAAAGATGTAGAAGTTTGAGATCTCCAAATTGCATGACATTTGCATGGGCATCATAAAGGTCACTGTGAATGATGGATAGATCCTGGCAGACACAGGCCAAGGATTCAAATTCATTTAATATGAGTTAAGGATGCAAAAATGTCTTTCCCCACAGGTAGCTGCCCAGAGTGAGGGACTGGGAAACACAGCAGCCCTCCCAGTGAGAGGAGTGCTCAAACACTCCTGCCTTCAAACCCCACAGAGGTACTCCTGCTGATGAGAATAGTGATTAGAGTGAGACTTCTCATGGCTCTTCAGGAAGCTTGTTCCGTCTGTCCCCTCTCTCTTATTCCTTGGGCCTCCTAACTGTTCCAGAGAAATTGGATTTATGTCCAGTTGATCACCACTGCAAAGTACCTGGTGTCAACCCCAGTGCATGCCTGAGTTTTGAATTTAAGTGAATGAGATTCTTTCTAGGAATTTCATCCTCCCTAGCAGGACTGAGTCTCAGGTAGTCTATATCTGCAGTCTGCTGCATAAATTAATGACCCACTTCAGTATTTACTAAGAATTGGACAGTGATTGTCTAAGGAGACAAATAGCTCAAGAGAGAATAAGGAATAAACATACACACAAATTTAATTTATGGTAAGGTGGCATTAAGAAGCAATGGGGAAAAGGACTATTAGAAATCCTCTGGGAAAAATTCTTACCTCACACCATACACAAAAACAAAATTCAGATGGACTAATGATCTAAATGTAAAGTTAAAAACATATGTATGTTTGTGCAGAATAAAGTTTAACATTCAAAAAAGTTTTAAGGGTGAGGTGGGCCAAAGTAGGAGGCCTTTTAATGAAGGCGGTAACTCAGAATCTGCAAAGAGAAAATGTACGGATTTTATTACATAAAAGTGAAAAAAAATCTTTAGGATAAAATAAGAAACGAAGTTAAAAAGAAAATTGAATGAAAATGTTATTTATATATATATACATACTTATTAATATCACACATATCTTTGCACATCTTTGTTTTTCTGTGATGCAGAGGGATATATTTATATCCTATAAAAGTTATTTGTAATATACAAAGAGTTTATATAATTCCATAAGAAAAGTGCAAACTAAATATCAAAATAATAGGCAAAGGGTAGGAACAGGCAAATCACAGAAGAATGCAAATTACCAATAAACATATTAATAGATGTTCACTTGCACTAGTAATCAAGAAACTAGAATTTAAAACCAAAAAATGCAGGGCGCCTGGGTGGCTCAGTTGGTTAAATGTCTGACTCTTGATTTTGGCTTAGGTCATGGTCTCGGGGCTGTGAGATCTATTGAGTCCCAAGCCAGGCTTTGCACTCAGCCTGGAGTCAGTTTCTCTCTCTCTCTCTCTGCCCCTCCCCCTACTCTCTCTTCCTCTCTCTTTTTAAATAACAATAATAATAAATCTTAAAAATAAAACCAAAAATGACATTTAAAAATTCATCAAATACACAGAAATTAAAAACAAATAATGTTGAAGTACTTGTGGGATATGGGAAAGGACAGTCTCCTACATTCTTTCTGGGAATATAAATCGATGCAGTCTTTTTCTGAGGATAGATTGGCAGTTGTCTGTTGAACTTTAAAACGCACATAATCTTTCATACGATAATGCCCCCTTTAGGAATCTACCACAGAAAAATAGAGGTGTATAAGGATATATATGCTATGATATGTATTGCAGTATTAGTTGTAGTGGCAGAAAATTATAATCAACCTAAAATATCTAGCAATATGGAAATGCTAAAAGAAACAAACTATGGCATAGTCATGTAATGGAATACAATAAAGCCATTAAAAGAAAGAGCAAAATCTATAGCATTGACATGGCAGGACATGAAAAGATGGCCATGAATGAAAAGCAAAAAAATCAAATCAAGGAATATATGTATATACATCATGATTTTTTTTTTTTTTTTTTTTTTTTAGAGAGAGAGTGTGTGTGTGTGTGTGTGTGTGTGTGTGTGAGGGGGAGAGGGGCAGAGGGAAGAGGGAGAGAGAGAATTTTAAGCAGGCTCCATGCCCAGTGCAGAGCCTGAGTTGGGGCTCAATCTCATGACCTTGAGATCATGACCTGAGCTGAAATCAAGAGTCGGAGGCTTAACTGACTGAGCCACCCAGGTGCCCCCATACATCATGATTAAATCAAGGGTGGGTGGGTGGATGTATATGTGTGTATGTGATTGTAGGCCAAAAAATTCTAAAAGTCTGGAAAAATACACACTGACCTATTAAAAATGGATACATACCAGAGGTATAGAAATGCTGGGGTGAGGGGAATTTCACTTTTTATTTTATATACTTTTACAATATTTGCATTTTTTTTTTTTTTTTTTTTAAGGAGGGATGGGGGACAGGCAGAGGGAGAGGGTGAGAGAATCTGCAGAAGGCTCCACACTCAGTGTGGAGCCCAACACAGGGGTCCATCTCACAACCCCAAGATCATGACCTGAGCTGAAATCAAGAATCAGAGGCTTTACTGACTTAGCCACCCAGATGCCCCTGCAATGATTTTTTATCACGAAGACATAATGCTTTATAATGTTAAAAAAGAAAGGAAATTATAAATGCTAAACAACCTAATCTTTGACCAAAAAGAAGAATTTGGTTTGAAGAACTGCTTTTAAAGGAGATATAGGTAACTTTGCCTAATGAAAAATCAAACAGAAAAATCTCTTGCTACTGTATTAACTTTCTGTATCTGGACTATGTATTTCAGTGATTTCTCTCTGGTTATTTAATTCATTGTGTTTAATTGATAGTGTTTACTGGAGTTTAGTGAAAACTATTTTGTACGTATCTTCGGTTGTGATTTATCTAGTGGAATATCTCCCCCAATGAATTGCCTGTGAGTGGGGAATTAGTGAAGCAGATACAGATCTGGAGAGTAGTCTGTGGCTTTGCTTATCTTCACAGGAAACCTTATTTCATATTGATAAAGTTTGAAATCTTTCCTATAACTCTTTCCTATTGTTCATTGTTGTTACTGTTTTAATGAGAGGTAGAAATGAGCCAAACCAACCTTCTTTCCTTTTACTAATTTAATTTCAAAGGAAATTCTTCAACCCAAATCAACCCAAATAAATGAGTGTGGATGGAACCAGATTCTGACTCAACATGTCCAATTAATTGCTTCCAAACATTAAGATAAATTCCTCAGAAACACCCACAAATAATTTTTAAAAAGTTCCTCAGTAAAGAATGATTAGTGGGAAGTGAGCTGGCTATAACCATCTTTGCTTACAAAAACCGTGTTTAAGTTGGCATTAATATTTGCCATCTATTCTATTGTAAATATCAAGATTTATTGTAGAAATATGCTACAGATAGCACAATAATAAAGAAAACAGACTCACCTCAGGTTTTGAAATGTACCTAACAAACTCAACCTCTTGCAAAATAACTTTCTTATTCAAAATGGAACTGGGAATTGTTCAGCACACAATGAATCATCTTTTGGCAAGTACAATAGAATCTTTAGGGACATTTCACAGCCTCTTGTTCAATTGTTAGGATGTTTTTAGCTTTCACAGGTAGGAAAGAAGGTAGCTTGTATAGCCATCATCTTGTTGCTAAAATTGTATAGTAAAGATTTTTCGGAGTTGCTGTTGCAATAGATCTTTGCTTTTTTTTTTTTCCTTCCTGTTTCTTTACCCAGAGCTGCTTTGTCTCTCAAAAACAATCTGGAATTACTTAATGCTAATGTTTTCTGGTTTTACTATTTACCCAGGACTCAAACATTAAACATTAATGTTGGAAACTCCCTTTTCCTTACCTCATAGTGCTGTATTTAACTGTTATTTTGCCAGAAGAAAACCTCCTCTTTCCCTTTCTGTGTTAATGTACTTTTTTTTTTTTTTTATTGACACACATTTTGTTTTTGTTTTCAGGAGGCTTTAGAGCTACCCCTGGATGATTTTGAAGTGACTGAGACCACAACGGGAAGCGAAGTGATTAAATATGAGTATCATGTCTTATACTCCTGTAGCTACCAAGTGCCTGTGCTTTACTTTAGGGCAAGCTTTTTAGGTAAGACCATGTTGCCTGCTAGATGTAAATTCATAACATTTACATATAAGGCAGAAAGCAGATTTAGAAAATTATTCTTGAGAGAAAAAAAAATAGAGTTAAAAATAAGAAAACTGTGGGTGAGGTAAGGTTTTACCAGTAAATTTTCTCATGCTTTAGAAAGAGTATCAAGACTTCAGAGTGAATGATATCATCCCAGCCTTAAGTCTGATCTTCAGATTCTTGGCCTCCTGCCCGACGTTGACTAAGCCCCTGGCCCTTTTTCTTTTCCTTAAACAAGTAGGAACAATATAAAGCTACAATGTTTATGTACTTCTAACTTTACAGTAAAAATGTCTTTCACTCTTAAGTGATTCTGTTAACTCAAAAGCCCCCATGTCTCCTTCCCCAAATGCCAATAATTATTTCAAGAATGGTTTATCGAGTAGTTCAAGCTATATTTAAAAATAGCATGAACATTTCCTTCGGCCATCTATACATCTCCAGTGCCGTAGCTTCCTGCCATGCTGTTACTCAACTCATTCCCCTTGCCAAGAAGGTGGAACACCCTGTCTCCTCTGAGGCCTTGGCTAATAAAGCTTATTCAATCAGCAGCCACATGGAGTTCTCACCCAGTAGTGCGGCAATGACTCCCCTCTTCTCTTCCTCTGACTAAACCGGGTCAGCATTGCAAGGCCCTGTCTCCCTGGGCTCAGGACGAGAGGAGCTGCCTCCCCAGCCCACCCCCTACCCTATTTCTCCTTTGCTCTCTGGCCTTATCAGCAGCATTTGCATTTTGAACAGCCTTCTAACTTTTTCTGGGTAGCTAAGACATCTGAATTTAGCCAGTGATATTTTATTTTTAATTAAAAAGTAGCTTAAGCTACTTTGAATGTGTATTTGGTAGATTTAATCACTTGCTGCCTTATATTGTTTAATGGTCTCTAATTTTGCAGTGTTGGTGGTTTAACAAGCACTTAGGATTTAAAACACAAGAACAAATTCTCATAGACTCCCTGGTGAGAAGATTTTAATCTGAGGTGCAGTTCCTAAGAACTGACAATTTGGGGTAAATTTTCAACATGGGACATGGGGAATTGAGGACACTGATAGTTACTAATTCTTAAACTCTTGCTGCAGATTTATCCATATTATAGGCCTTTAAAACACTCACTTTATTGTTTTAATTCTCTTCAGTTTGGAGCTCAGAGGTTAAGGGGGTTTATTGTCAGTGAACTCTGTTATCCTAAAAAGTAGAAGGGGATACATTTATTTACCATGGGGGAGGGGAAATACTTTTCTTGGTTTTGGCTTGCAGTGGCTCTACCTAGTACCTTTCTAGATTTGAAGACGCATGGAGGCTGTAGGTAAAGGAAATAGGACACTACTTCTTCAATACTGTACTTTCCTATAATTAGTATTCACCATAAGCAGTTAATCACCAGAGAAGAGCTCCCAGAGACAAAACAAGTTGTTTAGCTTGTCAGCATTAGGGAATCGGAGGTGTTGAAACATGACTGCTTCTAGCTGGAAGTGGGTCTTGCCGAGGCTGGTGGATGAGCTCATTCGTGTACTTTGCTCTTATGTGCCAACAGCTCCCCTTACAGTACAGCACAGTGATTGTTCCTGCAAGTCCAATTATATTTTAACGAAATTTGTAGACTTCCTGAGATCTTTTCTTTATGATGGCTTTCTGTTCCTTAAAAAAAAAACAAAAAACAAACCAAACAAATACCGCACTTGCTTTCTTGGATCCTATCTATATACTTGTAAGACACCCTTTATTTATGGTTAATAAAAGAAAACCCCAACAAGTCATTTATTTTACGTGGCAGCTTTCCTTGTTCCTCCCTCCCCATTCTGTGTGGTGTGGAATGAGCACTAGGGACTTTTTTAAATTCCAGAATTCATTTAGTATTTACGCAGGTAAATTAAAATATCTAATTTAATTTTTCAAAGCATACTGAATGTTTTCTTGTGGAGGAACATGAAAAATGGTTCTTTCCTTTATCATATTCTAAGAATTTCTTTTCTCTTTTCTACTAAGTTAGCCTAGTGGATGTTCTAAAATGTTTCGCCCTTTACTCTGGAGTCATAATTTTTCATTTATTCCCCTTAATCCATTCCCTTTTTCTGCGGTATCTGATTACTCTGGCCCTCCATCTGTTAAACAGATCTCTGTCAGTGTGGTGAATGGATTCCTACCGTCTTCCTCTTATTCCAGGTCCAGATTTTTCTTTGTCTCATTCTAACAGAGTTCCGACCTAGAAAGAGGATGATTATAAAAATTTCTTGCTCAGGGGTCTTTTTTGTTGCTTCAGAAATAGTTCACTTAGCCCTGTTTTGGACAGATATTTAGAATTTCTTTTGCATTTGATTGTTAGTAAAATTTAGTTTCTCTGCTCTGCTCTGATTTTTGTTACCTTTTTTTTTAAGTAAAGCAATTAATAGTAGTAATTCTCATTTAAGTGACATGACCTTTTCTTTTATCAACTGGTTTAGATTCCAGAAGAAATATTTACTGTGTTTCTTGAAATGCAAATCCATTGAATTGTGATTACTTCTTATTCCTCTGTATTGGTCCGTGTCCACCAGGCCTACTATTGCCAGGACTCAGCTAACATGGCACTTGCTCTTGTCACTTCCATATCATATCACATCACACCACATCATTTCACATCATATCATATATAATATCACAAGTTTCACTATAAGAGAATTATTTGTTTGCTTGTCCCCTATAAAATGGTAAGCGAGAAAATGGAGCTGTAAGGTGAAAAGATGGAGGAAGGAAATTAATAGCGAGTACCTATAACCTACAAAGTGATAAGCTTATTCATGGTAGTGTGTGTGTGTGTGTGTGTGTGTGTGTGTGTGTGTGTGTGTAATACATATGTGACATTTGTTATTTGTCTTACTCATTTTGACACCCAGAGGATCTGCTGTGATATAGTATCAACAAGTATTTATTGAATGAACCAATGATGAGGAATTTCTAACAATTTCTGCATACAACCCAAAGATGGAAACAGTGTGATGGGGCCTTATTTGAACTGCTCTGATGGGTTATAAGGAAGAGAGTGATGCTGTTGTCTCCAGGAAGCTCAGGACCCAAAACATCTTTATACTTTTACTCTCCAGTTTGATACTTCTTAGAGACTACAGAAGTAGTTGACTAAGGAAAATGGCAAGTCTTGAGTACTCAAAGGGTGGGCGTCCAAACTAGCTGAGCAGCTGCCCCACTTCTATAAACACATATTTTTATTCGATCCTTGAAGGTGGAAACAGCCAAATTGCCGCAGCATTCTGCTGCTGAGTACCTCTCATTCCTACTACTTGGACATTTAGGAGCCCGGTTCTCTCGAGGGTAACATGGATTTAAAAAGAGAAAAAGTCCTTCCCAGTATTCTTTTTTTTCCTAACTACTTTTACCATTTGAAGTTTGGAAGAAGTAGTGGGACACACTTAATACCATTTGTTACCTAGCAGTGGGTAAGAGGTAAGTAACTACATTCCTGTCAAGTAGTAATAAATAGCCTATATTCAAATAGTGCTTTGTAGTTTATGAAGTCCATTCTCACAAAACACTGCCATCTTCAGTGCTCACTGTTTCCACTCCCCCCCCAACTATTTTTGAAGCACACTGTTTTAAAGAAGTATTTGTATCATGCTAAAGGCTTTGTGTATTGCCCATCATTCCAGCACCTTTTTATGTCCCATTTTTCCTTTTTGAGGACTTGGTTTTGGTCAAAAGCTGGTGGCAAGTGTTGGAAATGTAGTGAAAAACCTTAGCTATATACATAATGTCTTAGGGCTTCACCAGAGTCCTAAGCTTACATAGTTTTCCCTTTCATGACAACTAGAGATTTCTATATTTATTTCAATTTGAATTCTGATTTATTCCTGCCCTGTCTTTCTTCTTTTCATTTGTTCTCAATTTCTATTGAAAAATAGACCAAATAGTTCTTCTCATTTTCAAAATATTTAATTCTTTGGCTGACATATGGGTTCTTCTTGGGAACTGTTTTGACATATTTCTTTAATTAGTCAGAAGGGCTGCTTTTGAATAGGGAAGGAAACATTTCTTCCATTCAGCAACTGAATGTTCTTTCTGGAGATCCATTCTATTATTGGCCCGGGGAGTAAGAGTATAGAATTAAAAATGTAACCCAGATATTTCATGTGGAAGATTTGTCCACTTGTTATATGCCTAAAGGATCCTCATGGAGGAACAGGGAGAAAGAAATAGCCAAGGAATAATTATCTCTCAAAGGCAAACCACGATAAAGGCCAGCATAAAGGAAGAATAATGGAAAGTTTAGACTTAGAGCAGTGTGTAAATCATCAAGGAGAAGGAAGAAGAGCCTTGTTCAACGTGGTCTGGAACAAGAGGATGTTTTTGGAGTGCTTAGAAGAGAATAACAGGAAAACAGAAAGATGGAGTTGGAGGAAGTTGGAGAATAAAAGTAAAGTATCCACAGCTCTGTCCACAACTTGCAAGGGAAGGTAACAGGTTGGCTTTTCTGAAGAGGTTGGAAAAAGCATTGGAGAAGAGGAGGAGGGTGAGTGCCAAGCTGTAGGGCTGGAGAGAGTATGGCATATTTGGGGAGCAGTGAGAGGCCAGTTTGAAGTAAAGGTTTCCTTAAGATGAACTGTGGAAGAAATATTTGGAAAGATATGTTGAGGTCAAATTATGAAAGAGATAATGGGTTGGAAGTGGTTGCCAGCAAAGTGAGAGGTAAGGCAGTTTGTTGAACAGGAAAGAAAAAGGTGGATTGGAGAGGTTCTTAAAGATTGAGGCAAAAATGATTCTCATTAATTATTACAATGAGCAGAATATAGAAAATGATTTGACAGATAATTTAATTTAATTTATTTGATCCTAGAGAATCTTTAGGAAAGTTCATATATGCCATGTATTCTTATATAAAGTTATAAAGCTATGATAATGGAATGGAACATGAATTTTGATACATTAAAAAGAGATTCAATGGATTGAAATCAAGTTTAAGAGCAAACAG